ACTCTCTTTCCCATAGTATAGAAGCTATATACTTTATGACCAGCAAAATTTCAGTTATTTCTACAAACACACAATTCCAAAATTTAAAAAAAGTGTTCTAACTACAAGCAAAAGAGTCTTTTAGCTCAGATAGTCCTTTTTCAAAAAATGTATTCCAAATTACATTTTATATGACTTTGTTGTAATCCACGTAAAGGTTATATGTTATTGCATGCTTAACCTAAGGTTATATTTTTGAGAATTCAGGTACTACTGTGGCTTAATGACAGAGACTCATCCATTCTTAGTCAAATCAAAAAAACTCAGTAGTAATGCTGTTATATTCCAGCTAGTAATAAAGGGAAGAGCATTTTTCAATGTGATTAGCTTTGTTGTTGTCATATAATTACTGTTTAATTTATGATATCAAAACACAAAATAATTTGAGACTTAATAAGCAAGTCAAATTATAGGTCATAGATTAAAATTTACTAATGTCAAAACATAGTGGCACTTTTTCTATTGGATGTTCTAGGATTCATTTCAAAGTATCTTTCATATTTCAAGTTTCTTAATTTATATAAAGAAATACAAATTTACGCATAAAGATAAAAAGCCTTTTGGAAGCTACCCCATTGAAATAACTATTTCATGACACAAAACGATTAACACGGTGATATAATTCTACATATAGTTCAACTTAACAGTATGATTATATCATGCCTTTTTTTTTTACTTTTTGAAACAATAGGTTAAAAATCTTAAAGCTCATTGTAAACTCAAAGTGACAAAACAGCTACTCAATTACACTTAAAATAATTATGTCTATGCATAAAAGTATTTTGAGTCAGTTTTACAAAAGATATTATCAAATCACTGTATCACCATGTTAATTCAATAATTGTGTCTAATGTAATGTGGACTTTACCCTGATCTTGAAAATATCAAATACAAAAGACAAAAATATTTAAAAGAAATTCAATTGTAATACATGGAGTAGCTTTAGAAACCTGTGATTGAACAGTCACCTAAGAGTAGCATGCCACAACTTGATATTGTTTATACATATTAAACATATTTGTTGAATACCGTTCTGTATATCTTTTTTTAATTACTCTGACTTATATTAGTTACATGGCAGACTATTCAGCCATTAATATTAAAATGGAACAGTCTAACCTCTGACTTACATGTAAAAAGTCAACTGCAAATCTAGTTGCCATATTCTTGAAAATTTGCTGTGTTGCTATATTTAATTATAGTGCATTGAAAATTATGCTCTTGACTTTTTAGATACTTTTTTAAGAAAACTATTTAGTGACAATGATATGAACAGTAGCCGAGCTCAAGTTTGNGGGAAGTATTATGAAACCGCCCTGAGTGCTGCCCTCCAAGCCCGCCCCAGTGTAATTTCTATCACCTCTTTCAATGAGTGGCATGAAGGAACTCAAATTGAAAAAGCTGTTCCCAAAAGGACCAGTAACACAGTGTACCTGGATTACCGGCCTCATAAACCAAGTCTTTACCTAGAACTAACTCGCAAGTGGTCTGAAAAATACAGTAAGGAAAGAGCAACGTACGTATTAGATCACCAGCTGCCTGCTTCTTAATACATTTGATTAAAGTTTGATAATTATAGAAATCACCTGATTTCAACAAATGCCTTTTGTTTTGAGTGATGGAAAGAACACTGTCAAACTCAGTATACATTGTTACTATTTAATAAAAATAATTTGTGCTTTTTTAAAGGTAGTAATGTTATCATCACCACTCTTCACAATGCTACACCGAGAAGCTACTTGAGAGAAAATTGTGCAAAAAACATTCCCTGGGTCGTCATTTCCTAAATTTCTGACTGAAATTGAAATCCTGCTTTCATGGCCATTTAATTTTTATTTCACAACAGATAAATGCTTGTTACATAAAGTAGTTAGCACACAGCTAAATCCTACTTATATTCTGGGCCCAAAGAAATAGGATTGTATATATATTTGGTATGTCTACTGAAGAAAAAAAGACCTAAAAGATGGTGTACATGTTTTATCTAAGTTTTTTTCAATGATTCAATCAATGTTATTGGATTGGTGTTTAGATTCTGGATAACTCTCTAGCAATAAGTCTTAAGAAAAATAAAAATCATATACCTTAAAACCTAGTCTTAAGAAAAATAAAAATCATATACCTTAAAACCTTACTGTGAGCCCTATCGTGTAGGAAGTCCTGCTGTCGGCAGGACAATGCGTATCATCATTTGCAGATTTTTGCTTACCTATAGCATGGTAGGTGTTTTGCATGTCTAATGTTTCCACTTTACAATGTTGAA